TGGCGTGCATTGTCCAACTGTTGAACCTGGACTTTACATATATATATATTTATTTATTTATTCAATACTAAACGCGTAAATTTCAAAATTTAATATACTCACTGAAAATTGTACAAAGTGAGACCCAAAATTTCACATCTTTTCAAATCTTCAAGAAAAGCTTGATAACTTTTTTCTCGTTTTTCTTGATCAGGATTACCCAGATTGATCAGATAACTTCCATGAGGTAGCACAGAACCAGGTGGATACATATTCTCTTCACAACCTTCACGAAACATAGAGACATGTTCAGGATTAAGAGGTTGAGCATCCCATCTACGTTGATTTCGTAGGAAAATGGCAAATGCATTTGCGCTTTAAGAGATCAAAAGGATTAATAAAAATTATTTGTGATTTGATCATCAATTCGTAAGAAAGCCTACCCAAGGGCTAAACTATATTTTATAGCATTATGAATTCCTCCAGAAACGCTAACATGAGCACCAACCAATTTCTTTGTGCCCGAAAACCTTGGCGCGTAAATTATTTCGTGTTTTTCTTTACGTGTATTTTTTTTGGGGGTTTGAATCTTTGCATCTTTGGTTTTATTGTTTTCACGTTTATTTTCAACCTCATAAATAACTTCACTTTCTTTCTTTAAAGGTCCAATTACAGTTTCAGTAGAAAGGCCCTGGTCTTTTGCTTCCTCTTTGCTTACTTGTGTTACGCTCTGATCTGAAGCCTTTTCAGCGAGCTTTTTAATGGTTATTGGTTTTGTTTCTCCAGACTTTAAAAGGGCAGAAACGCGTGCAGAACGAAGTACATATGACATTGAGAATATTTAGACCTTCGTGAGAATATTCGTAAAATACAGAAATACCGTGATATACATATATATATATTTCATATATTATCGCGTGACTAATAAAATACTTCTACGTACGTACGATTACAGATCACTGATAACCATAATGCTTCCTGAAAATTTACAAATAACAATATTCCCTACAAAATCACTAATCAAATATCAAGAATCCATTATTCATCAAATAGAGATGATGGAACGTAAAGTGTTTCCTAAAAATGAGATTATGGCAATTAAGGAAGAAATAGCAAAAAAAACTAATACATTGCTAATAGCATATTATGAATCCACAGAAAATGAAAAGCAGAATTTCGAAAATAAATCTAATAAAGAAAAAAAAAAAGAAATATCTAAACCTAAGAATGATATTTCCAAAAAATGTAAAGTTATAAAAATCTTGGGATATCTCATATATTCGCATATTTCATTATCTATTTCACCGGTAACAAGAATACTAAAATTGTGCATACATCCATCATTGAGAAGGAACGGCTTGGGAAGAATGTTGTTGGAATATGCAATTAAGAAAACGAATGTACCTCAAAAATGTAGAGCAGAATTATATGTAGACACGGAAAGGTCGAATGCTATTAGTCTATATCAAAAGATGGGGTTTAAAATCAAAAATAAAGTAAAAGACTATTACGAAATTGGAAGAGACGCATGGTTTATGGAACTATCATAAAATTCTGACTGCACGTTTATTTACTCATTTATTTACTAGCGTTACAATCAAATTATAATTAGATATATAGATAGTTTTATTGTGTCTTGTTCTTTGATTTGGCAAAAGATAACTTTATTTATATAAGAGATTGTAACATACTTCTAATTAAAATGGAGAATAATATTCTTTGTGCATTATTATATGTTGTAAATAATTTTGAATTACAACTTGGCTTTGGGCTTTGTTAAAGACTTTAATACGCCG